GCTTTAACTTTATTAGCAGGCCACATATTTTGGTGAAAACCCGGGATTACTCTTCTTTGCAAACGTGAAGAGCCAATCCAAAGAGCTTCTGTTTTTTCGTAAACCATAAACCAGAGATAGTTACGAAAGAATCTAACAGACTAAAAGACTGGCGAACTGAGTTATCTGAGTCATCTAGGATCAAGGTTGTATCATCTGCGTATTGACGTAGTTTACATTCTGTGCCTAAAACACAAATGCCCTTGATTTGATCGTGGTTTCTTATGGCATTTCCCAGTATTTCAACACATAAAATGAATAAATACGGGGATAAAGGACAACCTTGTCTGACACCTCTAGTAAGATTGAAAAAGGCGGAAGACCAACCGTTATTTTGAATGCACCCGCTTATATCATTATAAAATAATTTAACCCAGGTAATAAGGGAATCTCCAATGTTATAATAGCGGAGAGCTTTTTCAATAAAATTCCATTCCAAAGTATCGAAGGCTTTCTCGAAATCTATAAAAAGTAAAATGCCAGGGATGTTCTGGCTTTCAGCGTAAGTTATTATACTGTCTATTAATCTAACATTTTCACCAGTTGATCTACATTTGAGAAAGCCCGTTTGATCATTGTTTATCAAATCAGGTAACACTTTTTTCGTTCTTGCTGCAATTGCTTTTGTTGCAATTTTGTAGTCGCAGTTTAAAAGGCTTATAGGTCTCCAGTTTTTTTAGATGCTGTAACGGGTTGTCTTTCTTTGGTATCAGGGTTATCAACCCCCTGCGCTGTGAGATGGAAAGGTGTCCCTGGGTAAAAGACGAGTTTAAAGCGTCGAGTAAAAAGGGAGACAGATCGTCCCAAAATACTTAATAAAATTCTGCTGGAATACCGTTCGTTCCAGGCGATTTACCCGATTCCATTGTTTTTAGACTCTCTAACCATTCCGTTGCTGACAGTAGGCCTTCGCAAGATTCTTTTTTATTATTACCTAGCTTTGTTTCAGTAACATCAGGGAAAAAAAAGATTATCATAGTCATTGACATCAACACTTGTAGTCGTGTAAAGATGCTCATAGTAGTTTTTTGCTTCGTCTAGAATCTCTACGTCCGTCGAAAACTTCTTCCCATTTGCAGTTTGGAGTTACCTAATAGTTTTACTATTGAAGTGCCGCTTCTCCAGATTATGGAAATATTTTGTATTCCTTTCTCCTTCGTTATGCCATTTCACTTTTGATCTAAGAATAGCCCCTTGAGTTTTATAGGCGATAATTTCTTCTATTTGCTGTTTCTTAATTCTGAGTTCAGTCCGTATGTTTTCTGTCACTTTATCTGATACATTACGTTCGTGAAGCTTATTCTCCAGTGCTAAAACTTCTTCTAACCGATTTTCTCCATTTTCCAGACGCCGTTTCCTACCTGCGGTATAATTTAAATAGAGCCTCCTCTAATTTTCATTTTGATGACGTCCCATAATAAAATCTCGTCAAGCTTCACTCTGGCCTTCATATTCCTTACACACATTAGCGATAGTTTTTCGCATCAACTTAACGTATTGCGTTTCAGTTAAGAGGTGTGTGTTTAATTTCCAATAACCTGGTCCTCTGGGGTCTCGGGCTGTGTTTATGCGAAATGTAATCATTGAGTAGTCTATTCGGTAACCGGGCAATATGTCGGCTTCCGTGATCTCTGGGCAAAGAGAAAGACTAATGAGGAAGAAATCTAGTAAGCGGCAGTGCATGTCAGGGTTTTCCCTTCTCCACGTAAAACGCGTGGCCTCAGGGTTTAGTACGCGGCGCCAAATATCAGCCACTTCGAAATCTTCTCTGATAGCCTCTACTTTATCTTTAGATTTCAAGTGTGTCGTGGCAACACCCCCTTTTTTGTGTTTAGAAACATCACAAACTAAATTGAAATCGCCACCAAAGACTAAAAAATCGCATTCAAAGGAGCACAGCTTGTCACGCACGTTTCTAAAGAAGGCTGGATTGTCCTCGTCAGGCGCGTAGACATTTACTAGTGTCATAATTTTGTCCCCAGTATCTATGTCTGTAATAATAAACCTCCCTTCGGGGTCGCAAAATGTTTGAGAATTTGAAATTGAAAATTGTTGTTGAACAGTATAGCAACGCTTGCCCTAGACTTTGAAAAGGTTGTCNCTAGCTTTGTTTCAGTAACATCAGGGAAAAAAAAGATTATCATAGTCATTGACATCAACACTTGTAGTCGTGTAAAGATGCTCATAGTAGTTTTTTGCTTCGTCTAGAATCTCTACGTCCGTCGAAAACTTCTTCCCATTTGCAGTTTGGAGTTACCTAATAGTTTTACTATTGAAGTGCCGCTTCTCCAGATTATGGAAATATTTTGTATTCCTTTCTCCTTCGTTATGCCATTTCACTTTTGATCTAAGAATAGCCCCTTGAGTTTTATAGGCGATAATTTCTTCTATTTGCTGTTTCTTAATTCTGAGTTCAGTCCGTATGTTTTCTGTCACTTTATCTGATACATTACGTTCGTGAAGCTTATTCTCCAGTGCTAAAACTTCTTCTAACCGATTTTCTCCATTTTCCAGACGCCGTTTCCTACCTGCGGTATAATTTAAATAGAGCCTCCTCTAATTTTCATTTTGATGACGTCCCATAATAAAATCTCGTCAAGCTTCACTCTGGCCTTCATATTCCTTACACACATTAGCGATAGTTTTTCGCATCAACTTAACGTATTGCGTTTCAGTTAAGAGGTGTGTGTTTAATTTCCAATAACCTGGTCCTCTGGGGTCTCGGGCTGTGTTTATGCGAAATGTAATCATTGAGTAGTCTATTCGGTAACCGGGCAATATGTCGGCTTCCGTGATCTCTGGGCAAAGAGAAAGACTAATGAGGAAGAAATCTAGTAAGCGGCAGTGCATGTCAGGGTTTTCCCTTCTCCACGTAAAACGCGTGGCCTCAGGGTTTAGTACGCGGCGCCAAATATCAGCCACTTCGAAATCTTCTCTGATAGCCTCTACTTTATCTTTAGATTTCAAGTGTGTCGTGGCAACACCCCCTTTTTTGTGTTTAGAAACATCACAAACTAAATTGAAATCGCCACCAAAGACTAAAAAATCGCATTCAAAGGAGCACAGCTTGTCACGCACGTTTCTAAAGAAGGCTGGATTGTCCTCGTCAGGCGCGTAGACATTTACTAGTGTCATAATTTTGTCCCCAGTATCTATGTCTGTAATAATAAACCTCCCTTCGGGGTCGCAAAATGTTTGAGAATTTGAAATTGAAAATTGTTGTTGAACAGTATAGCAACGCTTGCCCTAGACTTTGAAAAGGTTGTCAAAATAGTCGAATATCCCCATTCAGGATGCCAATAAGGTTCTGTCTCATTTGTGCTATGCACCTCTTGCAAAAAGTAAATAGAGAACCTTTTTTCTTTAACCATAAAAACGTTTCTCTCCGTTTAGTATTGTTTGACAAACCTCTGACGTTTAGGGAGCAAATTACCATATCATTAGGTTGCATGGTGAAAAGGTGAGAAAGGAAATCCATTGTTGAGAGTGTCAGGAGAGCAGCTATAGATGTAATTTAGCATTGTAACTACTAGGCCTAGATATTTGCAAATTGTACAAGGTACATGAAAAGCACGGATAATAACACACAGAAGAACGTAAACACAGATACAGACATATATTACAGTAAGAAATCCTTTTGGTTTCCGTCGCTTTTGGTAATAGTCCGATCGACGTTCCTATATATAGAACTCCCTGACATCGTTATAAATAAAAGTTGAAAAAAATATTAAATTAAATAAGTGGAAAAGTAGTTGCAAATAGATTATTTGGCATTCGCGGAGAAAAACTTATTATTGAAAAGGATATCACTCTATTGGTTCACCAGGAGCAATGCACTTTCCGTTGACATACAGTTTGTCGGGCTGAGCTTTACTGATATCGGCGGTAAAGCCTTTTTCCCTGGCCTTCTGCAACTTCTTCATTTGTCCTTTCCTCGAGTCGTACAGCAATTTTGGGATGTCATCGTAGACATGGAGTTCCGTGTCCATCACTAGTTCCTTATCCCCATAACGTAAAAATTGTGCAATGATCGGACGCGAGCTTCCGTTTTTCGGTTTTCCTAAGCGGTGAAGTCTTTGGAATTCAATTCTTTCTCGCGCATTTGGAATCTTTGGTTGATGTTCGAGAAATTTATAGATAATCCCTCTGGTATCTTCTATTTGTGCTTGCGCGCTATTGTGATCTTCGTCACCACCATTCATGTTGTCAACTTGCTCTTCTATTAGCCCCACCAATTTTTTATTTTCCCTCCTTGAGTAAGCCTCCATGTAAAGAAGTTGTTTCTGGAGCTGTTGTATCTTTTTGTTTTCAAGTTTTGAGTCGGATATGTCCTCCTCATTAAATTGAATGCTTTCTTTTACTTCATTGACTGTTGAGCCCGAGCTGTTTGGACTTTGTTTTGAGATCTTCGACTTCCGAATCCAGCTTGCCTACATTTTCTTCAATACTTGCTAGTGTTGTGTGCATCTTGCTCAAACGGCTTTCAATAGTATCAAGCTTTTCTAATTTTTTTAAGTACAGCTTCAAGCTTCGGCCGTACACCTTCCGCTATTTCTAAAGCTTCAAACACTTCGTCAGTCTCCGATGCAGTTGAGTGCGCCTTTGCTTCGTCTTTCGATTTTTTTTCATCTGGAGATGGCATAGAATCTTTGGAAGCTTTTGACCGGTTTTTGCGTTTGCCCAGCATCAAAAAACTATAAATTTTCCACGACGATTCAGGGAGCTCAGCGAAACACGTTTACTCTCCCATGTTACCAGTCCCCAGTCATTGTTTATTCATGGCAACAACCATTATTATACTGTAGGACAAAGACTTCACTCTAAAGGTAAAAGTCTACAACTTCTTCTGCTTCAATTTAGGCGAAAAAGCTATCTATGTGTAGGGCGATGTTTTATACGGAGTTTGTCGCTTATTTGGACAAAAAAAAATCCAAACTGAATTTTAATGCGGTCTTAACCCATACTAGAAACACCGAAAATACAGAGTTTTAAAAGCAAAAAGTCTACAAATTAATCTCGTTTAATTTTCCTGGTTTTTACGTAGCGTTGAAGATTAGCCCTTTTATTACAAAAAGCCTCTGTTTTATCTAAAAAAAGGAGAATATAAGTATTCTAAAATGGCGATTGTAGTGAGTGATCTTCGCCAAATTCCTTCCTTTTCTCTCTTATAGCTGTATCTTATCTATCTTATCGCTGTAGAACATTATTATGCGTAAATGTCCAGCCATTCTGCCCGATAAAACAAAAGCCATTCGAAAATTACTCTTCATTCATCTCTGCCCTCTCTTGCCCTACTCCCACCACTTCATTTTTTCCCACCTGCCTACGTTTTGACCCCGAATTCTCCCTCTTCAGTGTTAATTTTTGGCTATTCCTCCCTTCCCTATTGTGTTCCTCCCCGTCGGTCAACAACAGTACCATTCCGGACTGCAGTCAAGCGGACGGTCATACTCCACCTCCTTATGTTCATAATCATTGTACATTGTCATTCTGATCTATATTCAATTGCAGAATGCAGTTTACATATCAGCCGTTCGTGAGTTGGCGGTCGTTACACAGAAGATTTCAATTATCTTTGGAACTGTCTTTTGTCTCGTATTTACTGGGTAAGACAAAAGTCGAAAAGACAAGGATTTGTGAAAAATATATATTTTTTTATTTCCAGGACGTGATGAACTTTTGTGAGTGATTAAAACGATAAAAGAGACAACCGGAGAGATCTTTATCAGCGTTTTAAATCCAGTAGCCCATGTGTCCATTGGTAGTAGCTTAAAGATGCTACATTTCATAAATCTGTGCTAGTATTGAATACTACTGGGCATTTGAATCAACCCTTTAGTACTTCAGTCAATCACCGACAAATTCTTGTCGTGCACATGGATCGGGGTAATCCTGAGTGACTACTTGAAATTTCTTGTAACTGTGTATTGTGTGCTGTCTTCACAGAATATGTGGTATTCATCACCTTGAGAGAGCAGCTCCGAAACCTTGGGATTTTTTGGAGTGTGTTTGGTATGTGGTGGTTTCACCTGGAGATGTTAGACCAGATGACTTGGAAGGACAGTTGTTTGTTATAATCATGATTTCCCTTGCCATCATTCTACTGCCTGTTGAGGTGTGTTTTGGTGATATACATCAGGTTTAGTTGAACCTCTACTTTTCACAGCAGACAGTCAATACATCTTTTTTATTTACTCCTCCATAATGGCCTCTCTCCAAAACAGCGATATGGCATGACTAAAGTACGTTCCTTTTTTGAATGACGCGTGTCAACTGGAAGTGGATCCCTTTTCCTTTTCATATGCTTTGACGCTAGAGAATTTTTATTGCCAAGTTCCTCTACCCTTTTAAAGACGATGACTGTCCAAGAATCCAAGAATGCTTAATCTCCACTTCTCGTTGATGAGCGTCGCTCAAAAAAGTCTTTGCTTAAGCTGCTTACTGACCTCCCCACAATGGCCAAATAAAGGAAATGGCATACGACTACAAACTGATGTTACTTAGTTTGTTTTGTTAACTGTTCTTTTTTAAACATTAATTGCATGGTTTCAGTTTCATTGATATACAGTATTTCATTGTGTGAATTTAAATATGCCCTGGTCAACACATGTATTCGTTGTACGAAGAGAAGACAATTTTAAAACTTGAAATGTCCCGGCTTACTTTTGCAAAAACAAAGATATCGCGTTACATCCGTACTCCCCATAACGGTCTCCTGTCTGCAACACCCACGTCCTTTTGTCTCATAAGGGGCCAGCCAATACAGAGAGGTTTATCAGTGACGTTTGTTCTCCATCGCCGTCCTGTATCATAAACTACCTAATATTCTCTGTGTGTCAATAAGAAATCCGAAATGACGCTGGGCTCGACAAGAGACTTTTAATGGGTGCAAAATTGCACGCACGACTAATAAGCACTGACCTCATCAACACTTTGAGCTCTTTTTAACTCACCCGGACAACGCATGATTTATTACAAGCAGTAAAGTTATCAAACTAAAATTTGTAGGCTCAGGCCTACAGGTGTATGGGATGGCTACGCCCTGAACAACTAAGAAGTGGCCCCGTGGAAGCAAATCGTGAGAGCTGCTTACCCACAGGATAAGCCTTACTGCGAATATTTTTCGAGCCCTGCATGAGCGTAGATGTTGCTGATGAAATCTGTTGTCAGGTTGAACGAGTTTTTTTTTTTGGTCTCCACGATCAGGAGGTCTAAGGGTCCATTGTGCTCTCGCTGTTATCAGCAGGCGCTGGTGTAGTTGCATGATCAAGTGTTAGGGTTACAGTAGGGTTCAGGGTACCTTAAGTCACATCTGCATCATAACAGGCGCACCACATGGAGAAATGCCATCCGAGCAAAGAGAAGAGCTTTTAAGAAGTATCTAAATGAAAGGACACAACAAAACTGGGAAGAGAAAGTGAAATGTCGAAATGAGGCAACCAGACAAAGAAGAATTGCTGT